TTCTACTTCGATGTTTGGGGGGTTGACTCCCTGGGAAGAAGGTGGCTCATTCATTGGTTGTGATGAGGATTCTGGGACTAAAGGTGTCTCTTTAAGCGTAGTCCCTTCATCAGCTGGTTTGGACGAAGCAGCCTCAGCGGAGGATGATGGAGCAGGAGCTGTCGATACTAAGGCCTTTAAAGGAAAGGCTGAACTTTTCTGAGAAGTCCAAATAAATCATCAGCACACGGAAAAGTTTCAAGTATGGAAAAGTATGCTTGTGAGTAAACCAATTTAATTACATTCCTCCTGATAATAAGAGGGGTATCATCATCAACATTATCCTCCAGAATGGGAGATGCTGAGGTTGGCCATTTGCGGCTTGGGGGACTCTTGGCTACAGTAGGTTTGGAAGGGAGAGAAGAAGATAGACGAGCAGACTGTTTAGCGCGACGAGGAGGAGAAGGACTCCGGATGGACAAAGGAGTGACTAAAACAGGAGGAGGAGAAGAAATGGTCAGCTGGTCCAGTGAATGAAAGGCACGATTGACATCAGTCGCAAATAATCTGTGCTTCACTGACGGTCAGAGCTGTTCAAAAAGGGGATGGATGGCATGGCTAGAATTGAAAGGGGTTAATGAAAAATAGATTGCGAGCATTTATAGCCTCTGCCTCCGCCTTATTAATAATATAGAAGCGGTCAATCAAGTTCCTTGAATAGCAAGGAGGAACAGGCCAGGTTTGGCCGAAACCAAGTTGGCGAGCAAAAAATTGGGAAGCATATATTTCTACCCCTGCCTTGGCATTGGTCCCAGTCAAAATATCATGAAATATCTCCCTCCCGGTCAAAAATTGGATCCAAATGAGTAGAGAGGTGCTCGCGCTATCTATAGTGGAGGGAGGATGAACATAGTTTGGAGTCAAAAAAGGAGAAAAATGAAAGAAGGAAAGAATTGAATCCAAAGAATAAAAGAATGAAAAAATGTCCCTTCTAGACATATTTACAGGAGCCAAGGGCTCAGTGGCTAGCCCATAGCAGCTAGCAGAAGAAAGAGAAATTGATGGAGCACCAAGCAATGGAAAATAGGATCTCAGCCACAGTTGAGTGAACCAAAGAGGTCCACTATCAGTGGGAGATGCACCATTCTTCAATTGAGTTTGAAGAGAAGACATGCCTCTATAAAGGGCAGCCAAAAAGAAAGAACATAAATTCAAAGGCCCGCCACGCACCATTTCGTGCGCTATGGGTAAATAACTCAGGGAGGGCTTTATGCTTGGCACACACAAAACATATTTACAAAACCAAACCAGAAGAAAGGCCACTCACTCAGTATGGGAAGGCTCAGGGCTCGAATGGTTATGAAGGGCTTGCAGGTTTGAGTAAGACTCGGTGTAGTTTCTACCAAACTTTGGGGCGCCTGCAGAAATCAAGATACCAAGAAAAATGGTATCGCCCAAAGGTGGCAAATTCACTAGGGCCCCAACATCCCTTAAAGTAATAGACATGGGGCCAAGAGGGAAAACAAAGGTATTATATTCAGAAGACCAAAAACTTAGAGCGATCGAGAAAAGTGTTGAATCAAAAGTAGGGGGTTGAATAGAGATTTCTAACAAATCAGAAATCCTAGCATTATCAAAAAGTGACTTAGTAGGACCATGGTCCACAAGGCGAGCATGCCACCTACGGAAAACTACATCAGATTTGGACCAAGTGCGAATACCTCTTTCGCGAAGTGGCCCCAGCGGCAGAGAGTTTAGAAATGGAGGGCTTTGAGTACAAAGAAACAGCTGGCCCACCGCCGCCTGTTCGACTGCCTCTGCATTGTTGAAAAAAGGACCTAGGTAGAACTCATTGAGTTCGACATTGGTAGGCGCGAGAAAGTTCGGAGTTATGTATGGACGACTCAGAAGTTTCTGAAAGTTATCAAAACTAAAGGAGTCGCCATATTGAGATTGTGAAGTAGCCATTAGAGATGAAACGGAGTTTTTTCAGAGTTAGTAGCAGGGAAGCAAAAAGATGATCAGTAAATCGTATGAGAGAAACACGAAAAAGTGAGGCGTGATTTAATGGTGCAGTGAAATGGCGTGTTTGGGGGTTATAAGGGTTTGCAAAACGTCGCACCTTTTCAAGTTATGGAAGAAAACAATGATAGAAATTCTTGGGAATTTCGAATGTTGTTGGAAACACAAAGTGAATATGGCAAAATTTAATAATTGGTATTAATTCTGCCATATTGGGGGTAATTGTTGACACATAAAAATTCAGCCCAAATCGAACGGCCCAAGGAATGAAGCCCAATTGGAGGATCTCCAAATCAGATAGCCTAAAGAACGAAGCCCAATCAAATCAGATAGCCCAAAGAACGAAGCCCAATCAAACAATTTAAGAATGAAGACCCAAATAGGGAGGCCCAAGATCGCGGTAACACCATCGCCCAAGTTTGCAAGTCGCCCAGAATCTGAGCGAATGGAGTGTCATATAGTCGCCCAGAGCTGTTACTCTATTCTTGCCCAAACCTTCGAGTCGCCCAAGGTCTTAGCAAACATAAAGTGTTATGGTTATCAAAAAGTGCAGTTATCAAAGCAGTTATTAAAGCAGCCCTATCACGTTCCACGATTCAAGGAATTCAATCGAAAACGGTTGAATGACGAAGAGTAATGACAGCAGTTAAAAAAGGCAGTTCCATGACAAATTGGCCATTACGAGGAAAGTGGACAGTTGTAGAACGATCAAGCAGTTTTTAGGCGGTTGATCACAAAGAGATCATCCTTGGAGTATAAAAGGAAGAAAAGATATAGAGCAAAGGGATGAATAAAAAACTCTCGAACAGAGAACATGTAATTTTAAATTTCTTAGCTTAGATTTAAACACTTCTTTTAGTAACTCGTGTACTTGCGCTCCTTGAAGGCATTCTGTTTTTAATTTCTGATTGTAAAGTCATCGCCAATAAAGAACACCCCTTTTTGAGACTTTGTTTTAAGAGATTTGTCCCTTACACAATCGTCTGACCCCCTTTTAATTGTTAGCGACGAACCCGCGCGAAACAATTAGATAAAACTCTTTTTTGTCAAATTGTTGATTCAAATAAAGTTACGATTGTTAATATTTGTGCTTAATAGCATGGATCACGTGGAAATGATACTTTAGTATCATTATTGTACTTGGCGCGATTTGTATACTTGCAAATTCAACTAACACTGATTAAGTTAGTACGTCCAATTGTACATTCAATCTCACCAGTGAACTCTAGTTTCAGCGAATTCGTGTGTACTTAAAAATGAATTAGCGAAGTACTTGAATTTTTCCAAAATTTTCGAGTATTTATTATATTTGTCATGTAAATATGACTTTTAGGTCCCAAATATCTTTTACATAACAAGAAATAAGGGAAGTTTTTTTAGATGCCATTCAGTTTGCGTTTGCATTTGATTCTATGTGAGAGGGGTGTACACGCTTAAGTACACTCCATTATGTACTACTAGATTAATTCTTTATTTACTGCACTATGAAAAATCACGAGTTCTAAAAAATTGGAAAATTGATCCCTGCACACATTCACGAGTCATCCTCGATGTATGTCAGACTAAGACTATATTCTGTAATTAATTAATTAATTAATTTTAATAGGTTAACTAATCTAAAAATCAGTAATATTCTAGATTTTAAACTTTTAAAGGTCAAACTTGATATTTCTAACTCTGCTATTACAAATCACTGCATAAAAAAACTCAGAAGACTCTTATTCTGATTGGGATAAAGGTATTGATATCAAAAATACAGTATTTGTCTATTATTTCAGATAACTTACACTTCTACAAAGTAATTGTTTTACTTTATTAGATTCGACTATATCATTATAGGATATCGATAATGTTCATACTCGAGAATATGAGATTGTACCTAACCCTCGTAAAAAAAACTCCATCATACGTTTGAAAAACTTCCATATGTGATTATTATACTTATCGTGATTTAATCTCTTTGGTTCGGTATGATTCTAATATAAGCCCCCGTTTGGCCCCTTATTTTGTGGAAATGAAAATGAGTGAAATTATGTTTTTTTGAAAAATAAGTTGTTGAAAAAAATGAAAAGTTTTCTATTTACGTGCAATATTATTTTATAGAAAATTGTGTGGTTGAAAATAAGAGGAAAAAAATAAAATATAATAGAATGAAAATTGATGGGACCAAACGCGGAATAAGAAAAAGAGGTGAGGTTTTAGAAATAATGAGAAATTACTATTATGGGGGCCAATTGTGCCCTCTATTTATCAAATGTCCAAACAACCAAAAGTGGCCCTTCTTTAATGGAGGGACCATCCATTGGCATTAAGCAAAAGATTATGTGGCTAATGATTCTATAAGATTTTAAAGGTGGAAAATAAAGAGAAAAGTAATGAATATTTTCTAATTAAGAGGATAAGGTTTTGTTCAGACCATTTAATTTCTATGCCCTTGACGGTTGCCTATGCTGTCTTATTGGCTATCAATCGCTATCCACACCACAATTTTATCTCTATACTTTATATGCAATAATTATTTTTTTCCAAATTTTCAAATAAAATTAATTCAACAGTGTATTTTGACTCAAGATTAGGTAGAGAAAATTTAATAAAATCAAAAAATAAAGATTATTAAAACCATCCAATTGGATAAAAGGCATTAGTATACAAGATTTTGCCAACCAAAAAACGCGTAGCTCACTAAGGAAAGTCACCTCTTAAATAGTTAGAAAATGAAACTTTTGCTTTTGTAAATTGTCTTTCCTTCAGGGGTCCCCAATCTTTATAAGTATGGTCCTCGTGTTCCCAATTTCTTTTACACTCCCCACAAGGTATTTCCACGAACGAAAATTATCTACTTAGACATGCCATACAAAATTTGTTTTAAAAAAAAAAATCTTTATTCCAAAGACAAATATGACATTCAAATTACTATAAATATTACTTTTTTTTGACAATTTACCATTTCAATTAGATATTGGCATTGTTCTAAGAAGTGCACCAAGGCATCACCTAGTTGCGATACATGCCAAGCCAAGTGTGTTGGCGCCTTATTTAACTGTCAACGATTGTCGTTGACCACTAGACGCACATTATTATCATTTTTTAATTTTTTTTATAATTCCTTTAATTTAAAATTTAAAGTTGACTTTTTTCACTTCGTCTGTTCTAAATTCAAAACAGCCGCTTGAACCCTTGAACAAAGGAAAACTCTTGAAAATTCCTATTTATTTACTTTTAATATTTATATTTGAGACTTATCTTTTTGTTTGAAACTTTAAAAAATATATAAAATTTCTATAAATCTGTTTTAGATGTGTTGGTAGATATTATTTTTAATTATTAAATAATTTTTTGATTGATTAAAAATTAAAATAATATTAAAATAAGAAAACACATTTTTATGTCTATGCCTCGCATAAATTCGTTTAGTCTGTAGCTTGGCTTTCACGTATTGTCATGCATCATCCCTTTTACAACGCTGTTCACATCAAATGCATGTTACGTGGCGATTTAGTGACTAAATGGATGCTTTTTTGACAAGTGTGGATGTCACAAACATAATGTTGGAAGGTTGAGGACGTGGATGTCATGAGTAGAAGGTCGGGACCCTCAAAGGAATCTATCCCCAGTTATCAAAGATAACCCTCATCTTAATCATCATTAATGCAAAATCAAAATCCTTAATAGGGTCATCATCATCTTCTGTCCATACGGCATACCCCATAGATTACAGACCTCAAGAAAATTAAAGAAAAATCCTTCCCCTTTCTCTCTCCTGTTAAAAACCCAAAAACGCCGTTACTTTAAACTATTCCCCGTTACGCACGTGACTTCAACAACTCTATTAAGTCCAAAGCACACGTGCCATTACACATGTCCCTTGAGCAATTGAGCCTGGCTCCGGGGCCCGCCGACGGCGAGACTGACGGCCGTCAACAATCCGCCGATGATTCCAACAAAGTTGCTCGGCTGCCACGGTGGACCAGACAAGAAATCCTAGTGCTTATACAAGGCAAAAGGGTAGCTGAGAACCGTGTTAGGCGGGGCCGCGCATCCGGGTTGGCATTCGGGTCGGCTCAGGTCGAACCCAAATGGGCATCTGTTTCATCCTACTGCAAAAGGCATGGGGTAAACCGGGGTCCTGTCCAGTGCCGGAAAAGGTGGAGCAATTTAGCGGGGGACTTTAAGAAGATAAAGGAGTGGGAATTGAAAATAAGGGAGGAAACTGAGTCGTTTTGGGTGATGAGGAATGACTTGAGAAGGGAGAGAAAGTTGCCGGGGTTTTTCGATAGGGAGGTTTACGACATACTTGATGGAGGCGAGGAGGAGGGAGCTAGTGGGCTGGCTTTGGCGCCATCGGTTGCCCCAACGGGTGATGAGGGTGGTAAACAAGTGGAGGCAGAGGCTTTGTTCGATAGTGGGCGGAGCGCGGCTGCAGATGATGGGTTATTCTCGGATTTTGAGCAGTCAGGTCAGGAGGAGGTTGGTGAGATTCCCGGACGGGGTAAGGAGACTCCGGTGAAAGGTATACCCGCTCCGACTCCCATTTCAGGTAATCAGATGCTACAACTATTAATTTACAGACCATCAGAAAACAAGTAAAGAATTTTATGCAGTATTTTGTGCATCTAAGCATACAGATTCATAAAAAAAGGATGATTTTTGCATGAGAATTCTTGAATTGGATGAGTTTTGTCATCTATTTCATAATTTTTGAGAAACTGAAACACTATGTGTTTTGTCATTTGCTATCTGGGGAGAGTTGTATGTGTCTGGGGGTTTGGTGATTACTGAAATATTTACTTGAACAGAAGATTGTTAAATTGTTGAAAATGAGAGACTCCTGTAGAATGTTTCCCATTGTACCATATATGAATGTGTTTTTATGCTCTTGCTCGTGCTGAAGTGATTTGTTGGAACGGTTTCCAAATTGACTCTTGCTAGTTATACTATAATATTTAAAAGATTGTATCATGGGTTCAAAACCCATTCCTCTGGCACGGAACTGAAAAGGGCTGGCGAATTTACGGGGGAGAGAAACTTTTGTCCATTACCCAAAACTATCCGATTGGTGGCTAAGTAATCGATGTGATTTTCTCTCAGTAAGACAAGGAATTTTTCGACATACATCTGTTGATTTTTGCAAAAGAACTTTGCATGAGGATGCTTTTCTTGTAATGCGACAATGGTGGTTCCCCTGCACATTCCCTTGAATGTGATGTTTTCATTTCTTTTTCTGTAGTTGCAGAGAAACAGCATCAGTCATTTCCTCAAGAATCTCCTGCTCAAGGTACTATCCTTTCCATACAGATCATACTGCAATAATAATTATTGCAATCTTCTTCTCATGACTTGCAATTCTTCTGTTAAGTTGGTCAGACTGACAGTGCACAGATTTTAAAGAAAGAATCACGCTTACAGATTGTGTTGATGCTGTTACCACATTTTTCTCTAGCTGAGCTTATTTAGATTTTATGCATCTATCAATTTTATAAAATTTGTTAACATAATGTGCACAAAAGAGAACTTAACTCAATTCTATTGCAATTGCTTGTTAAAATCTGTTTTCCCCTGCATTTCTTAAACTCATCTGAGTTGCAGTATATCTTGATGGGATTAATCTGCAAAATCATCATGAAGTTGAGGATTTTGCCTTTGTAGCATATACCAAGTGTACCCTCAGCATTATGAGAATATGTTTAAGCATTTCACCAATTATTGCCTCTTAGAGTTTGCGTTAACCAGGGACAATGACATTGATTATTACCTAGTGTGGCTAAAATTGGATGTATTTGAAGTACCACCATAATTAAATAGGTCACACAATATGGTTTTGTGAGACAAATGGGATGTCTTTTGTTTGTCTATATATTTAATGTTCACATTCGATCTTAAACCGAAAACAAATTTTTTTTTAATCAAATGTCAATGGTGAAATGGTACAAGTGGTCATTGGTTTCTGGGGAAGGTATTTGATTTTAGCCTGTGTATATATCATATTTTGGTCACTTCTTCAAATGGGGATGCTTTTCAGTAATTTACGAATGTCTCTTCAGGAAAGATTGTCCATTTGTCATGTTTAGTTGGATAATTGGCAGAAAATTATAACAGCATGGCTGAATTCTTATATTGATATGTTTTAAGGTGACCAGTATGGTGGATTCCTGCATCTTTTAATCTGCGTTTTTAAACTCGACTTTGAAAAAATGCAATTTTTGTGGGCCTAAATGATAATAATTTGTGCATCTATGGCAGTCTTTGCCCAACTCTGAGACTAATTCCTTGCTCAAGGAATTCCAAGTGTCGTAGAATCTGAGAATGTGATAAAAATTAAAAACACTAAACAATGTTGATTGGAACTTCAAAGTCATAAGCTATTACTATTTGAGCATGAGAAGACCTCTTTAGGCATTTCTTTGGTTCATGCTCGCTAGAATTTTGATTAACTTTTGGAGCATTTAGCTGATTATCAATTGATGGGGTTCCATGGGACAATGGAATTCTTATTCTTATCAATTTGGTGATTCTTTTAGATGTGAAATCGAATAGAATGTTGGCCTTATTTAAATGGTGTAAGAAATGCAAAAGAAAATACGAATTAGTATATCCTCTTTCTAGTCATTATGAATAATGATAAGCAACAGCAGCTCATGGTGTTTCATCTTCTGAATGATTAACACCTGCCCTCGTGAAAAACTAATTAATGAGCCGGAGAAGTTGGCTCAACTATAAGAAACACTTGGAGCTAGCAGCTGTGTCCAAGGGAATAAGAGTTGTTTGTGTGTATTGAAAATGCTTGTATTGCAGGCACCAGTCATGAGAAACCAACTACCTCAGAACCTGACATTCGGAACCCTGAGGACAGAAAGAAGAGGAAGCGAAATGAAACTGGTGAAGAAAGAGAGAGAGAACCAACGAATATGCAGCATAGGTTGATTGAAGCCTTGGAAAGAAATGGGAATTTGTTGAGCTCTCAACTTGAAGTTCAAAACACCCATCTTCAGCTGGATAGGGAGCAACGCATGGACAACGTCAATAGCTTAATTACAGTCCTCAACAAGCTTGCCGATGCCTTGGGAAGAATTGCCGATAAGCTGTAGAAAAAACATGTCAGTTTAGTTGTACAATTATTTTTCCGAAGGATTTGGTAGTCGTTCATAATTGCATTAAAGATTGCTCCACACACACATTTTTCCTCTTTTCTTCCTGGTCTTATTTTGATGTATAATCTTTTTGACCTTTGTTGCTTTGGTAGGTTTGTACAAAATTTTATATAAACAAACAGAATTGGAAATCTACCAATTGTTTCTTTACCCTTGATTTAATACATCAATATATTTTTGTTGGTATAGTTGGCATGACCATACAGATTAATAACTAAATATATCGGGCATTGTCGCCATTTTGTTCAAAAGTTATAGGTCATAGCATAATATAGGTTCTGTTTGTTTCCCATTTTTGAAAAAATGAGAATGAAAAATATAGTAGTTATGGGACCTACAGAAGAGATAAAAATTCAAATTTGATGGTTTGATGTGATAAATAACGATAATATTTGGGAAACAAATGGGGGAATAATATGTCCTATTAAATAAGAGTTACCCTAAATTGATATTTTTCATGAAAAATAAATGTAATCAAACACACCCTAAATTCGCTAAAAGTTGGGTAACTAACCAAGTTTTTTACTTTATATATGCATATATGTAACAAAACTAGTGCCCATTCTCTGTGGGCAAGCCTAAGGGTTTTCGGTAGGTAGATGCTACTTCACCAACCTCGTGCAACCACGACTTCCTAACAAAAAATCGGACGAAAGAAATAATTATGTGTATTACATTACATGGAACGTCATAATAAGCGTCAAAAGTCCTAATGTTCGGTCAATATAACAAGTCCACAGGCTGAGTCGAGCCCACTGACAATCCTATGTATATAATTACTAGTCGAGTTAAAATACTTTTTTAGAAAATGTACGTGTTATAATTTTTCTTGAAAAAAGTCCTTATTTGGTTTGATTAAAAATAAGATTTTAATAATTTTTTTATAAAAATTGATGAATTATATAGTTAAAAAGTTGATAAAATATTTTAAGTCATATGAAACATGGGATTGAAAAAAAAAAATAATAATAATAATAATAATAAATGAAGAGAGATTTGAAAAAGGTTAATAAATGGAAAAAGTCTCAGCTAAAAGGAGAATAAAAAAAAAAAAAATACATACGTATCTTCCACCTCTTCCCTCAAATCCCTACTGCCGTAACCTGAGATCCTCTGTAATCACAGCTCCCTTCCTATCCAATTGGTTTTCTCTTCCCTCGCTGGTCGTCCCTACAGAAGCTTCTCCACTCTCTTTGGTGAGATTCGTGCTTTGGTGGGAAGTTCAACCTCTCTACTGTCATTCATACCTGAAGAAATCGCAAACGGTATCAACTTTTACTCTCTTAAGTTTTACATTTGGTCTCATTTTTAATTTCTATATATCTGAATATAATTTTAATATTTTTCTCTTGTTGATTGTTTTCCATTTGCCCTCATATATTTTATTGGAACTATTTAGGGAATTCATTTAGAATCAAATGAAACAGAAGTAAATAATTCCTTATTCATTTTGATTTTTCAAATTCCTTTCCACACATTCTCAAAATAATAATAATAATAATAATAATAATAATAATAATAAATAAATAAATAAATAAATAACTTTTCGTTCTTGTTTGAGTAAGAATTTGTTCTGTTTACTGGTTTGTTGATTCCATTTCAATTGGAAAGGGTTTTCAGATTACTTCACTTAAGTATTTGTTCTCCTTTTCTCCTCGCATTTCAATTCTAGCACAAAAGCAGTGATACTGGTGTGTAAAAAGAAGGAATAACACCTCAAGTGATAGTTTTTTAATCCAAAATCAAGTATATATAGTCCGATTCAAGTTAATTTTATCATAACAAATTAATATATATATATATATATATATTTGAACTATTAAAAAAAAAGGGGGGCGGGGGGAAGGGAACTCTGACAATAAAAGTAACTTAAAGTGATTTTTTTTAATGCTTGGTCAAATATGCTCTAAGACCTTTTACGTAAAAGAATACTCTTTACAAAATTCGCATCCAACCAGAAGTCGAACCAGTTCAATTCTCGAGTATGTTTCATTCTCTCCTACTAACGGTGCCAAACACTCATGAGAGTCACTGAACCAGGTTAAGATTCCCTCTTAGGCAATAAATTTAATTTTATCATTTTCTGATTAATTTACACCATTTTTTTATTTTTTATTTATTTTTGTTTTTGCATTTGTGTAGGGGTTTTTTTTACCAGGTTTTCGTAAATTTTGTGCTCTAGTGTGGTGTGAGTGACATTTATAACATTTCTGCATTTAGTTTGGTTTGGATTAAAAGCAGGTTGTTTTTGTGAGTTTATCTGTTTATTTGATCTGGTTTAACCATCAAGATTGTTAATTATTTTGTTGTACCCATGACTGTTTTATGTTTTATCAGAGCTTAATAACCAATTGAGAAAAGCAAAAACTGTAAATGGAAGTTGAGGGCAATCCGATTAGAGTGCAGTGTATAATGCAAGATGGAAAAATGGTGGTGCCACCTCAATATGTGCAACCACCTGAGATCAGAGCACAACACAACTCTAAGAAGATCTCTTTGAGCAATAATTGTGATGCACCAACGCCACCTGTTATCGATCTTAGCAATGCTGACATTCTCAGTGAGCAGTTGGAGCTAGCCTGCAGAGAATGGGGAGCCTTCCACATTATCAACCATGGAGTTCCAATCAGATTGTTGGATGACATGAGGACTGCTGGCCGCTCCTTTTTTGAGGACTGCTCTATGGATCAAAAGCTCAGCTTTTCATGCGACGCCAATTCCCCTGCATCTGAGGGCTATGGCAGCCGAATGCTAGTTGCATCGAATGACACAGTTTTAGATTGGAGGGATTATTTTGATCACCATAGTTTACCCCTTTTACGGCGCAATCCATCCCGGTGGCCAAACTTTTCACCCAATTACAGGTGAATGGTTCTTTTGCTCTTATGCCCTTGCAAAACAATATTATTTTGTATTCTTTTCTTGAAATAGATTACTTCAAGATTCATATTTTTAGTTTGCATTACTTTGCAGTCCTGATGATATAATTTCTTATGTGAAATGACTAACTACAAGACTCGTTAACAGAGAAGTTGTAGCAGAGTATAGTGATCAGATGAAACTACTTGCTCAGAGGCTACTGGGTTTGATCTCCGAAAGCCTAAAGCTGCCTTCTTCATGCATTGAAGAGATCGTAGGGGAATTCTATCAGAACATCACCATCAGTTATTATCCTCCTTGCCCACAGCCTGAACTTACTCTTGGTTTGCAAGCACATTCTGACATGGGTGCAATTACATTTCTCATCCAAGATGATGTGGGGGGGCTTGAGATCTTGAAGGATGGAGAATGGATATTCGTAAATCCCCTATCTGATGCCATCTTTGTTATTTTGGCCGACCAAACTGAGGTATTGATTAACTGGTCAAAATTTTTATCTTCTGTATCTCTCTGTGTTTTCAATAATCTGTCACTAGTATACATAGTTTTATAGGAGTTCCTGAAGTTAATGCATATTAGATGTTCCTTTTTAATTAGATCGTAGAAGGAGTTCAGTGAGTGAAATCAGTCACCAAATCAAAATTAAATTTAAAAGCACTTTAAATAAGAGAATATGAATACTTATTCAATGTTTTCAAACTTGGCCCAGGCATCGATCTGGAAACTGTAAAGGGTCAAAGTAACAAGGTTTGAACGGTAGTTAAAAAATAAAAAATAAAATAAAATCTTTATTGTGAAAATTTATTATAATATATGATAGTGGTCAGGCCTTGGGTTTGCTCCCCAATGGTTACCAATTTGAGTCCCCTCAGGACCACTGGGGTGAATATGTAACTATAAACTTCAGGGTCCCGTGAGATTGTGGAGGTGCGTGTAAGTTGACCCGAATACCCACATTCATTAAAAAAATAAAAATAAAAAAAATATATATATATATGACTATTTCCACATCAACAATTCAAAGTAAATACAAATCCATATTTGTCAATTTAAAATTTGTTATTACGTAACTTGTTTATACACCTCAAAAATAATACGCATTTGTCTAAACTAAAATATGATATTTGTTGGCATAGGTGGACAATGGGTTGCTGGGAAGTTTAATGATCCCAAAACATGAGTTAATTTTGGGATGAGAGAGAGAGAGAGAGGCATATAAAAGGACTGTGGTGAGAATAGCGATACAGTAAGCAACTAAGCAGTCAATGCTAGGCGCTTGAGTTAGTAAAGATTTTATTTTATAAGGTTTTTTGTTTGATGAGACAAACCGATAAAGTCGTGGCTGGTTTTTGACGTAACCAGCTGAGTCAACAGGTTTTTAATAGACGGTTTTTACCATTCAAGGGGACCAGTTTTTGGACCGTTCACAGTTTTTTCGGTTGAATTGACCGGTTCGATTTTAATAACATTGCTCACTAATAGTAAGCTCTGTTGTATCCTATTGTGGCATCGATTTTGTACTCAACTAAGTTGTTGTGTAGGGGTGCTTGAATACTAACATAATAATTCTTTAGTTTTGGAGGTATTCCTGAAGACATGAGAAGTTTGTTTTATAGTGATGTATTCGATAGACATTGTTACCGTTCTATGTAATGTTTACATTAATAGGTATATAGTCATGCAGGGGCGAGGCGCCGAGGCCACCTCGTGCCTGGTGAAAGCGAATGCCCCTACTGGGATTTGGAAGAAATAAATTATTGGAGTTCATCCATCCTTTTTTCTCCAACTTTCATTACATGTTATTACCATAAAATTAAGAATGTGAGGACTATATTTCAATATTCTCTGCATGGCAATTATGAAGAGCAAGACGACTTGGTGGCTTGCCTCTTCTTTCCTTTTTCACCGAGGGCTTGTTTTGTTAAAATTTTATCAACTTTTCAGTTGATCGATCTTCAATTCTTATTATACTTTTCATGGAATCCACAACTTTTTAACCACGCATTTCATCGACTTTTGTCAAAATCTGTTAAAACTTTTGTCTAAAGCTTTCTCACACCACCTTAAGTTATTCTTGGATGCTAATAGGTGTAGAATTAGGCCCCTGTTTGGTTTAAAAAAAAAAAAAAAAAAAGATTTTTAGTCGATTTTCATATAAGTTGATGGAATATGTAGTTGAAAAGTTGTGAGTCCCATAAATTGTGTGATTAAAATTTATTGCTAAATAGGTTCTAGATAAGATTGTCGAAGAGTGTAATAAAATTTATCAATTATCTTAATAAATTTTGTTTGGTTTAATAGTTTTTTTAACAAATTTCATGCAAAAAATAATAGGATACAAATAGAACAAGTTAGAAAACGAGATAAGTATATTAAAGTTGGCGTTGATGAACTAATACAATAAATTGAATAAAATTAAACAAATAAAAAAAGCGGTGTGAACTTAATGACTAGATTAGGAAAGAGAAGAGTAGACCATAATTATGATAATTTATCGTATTCATCACGAATTTAGTTATTTAAATCTTTCAATAAATCCAATAAAGAACCAAGTGGAGTAGCGACAAATAATTCATGTAGCCAACTAGAAATTCATTAGGAACCGTGTTTAGTATGAATAACTGGATTTTTTTTATTATTAGTTTTTTCTTGTTTCGAAATTTTTATTTTTAGTTAGGTTACGCCCCCAATGAACTGAATTTCCTAGCTCCGCATGGATACACGAGTACAATATACATTTTTGCATATCTGGAGCTTAAAGCATTTGCATCATGAAAGCTTTAATCTGAATTTATTTCTTTCAAACAGAAGGACCAATATATATCCCTGATGATGTTTTGCTGCTTTCAGATTATAACCAATGGAAAGTATAGAAGTGCTCAACATCGGGCCATAACTAATGCCACCAATTCACGGATTTCAGTTGCTACATTTCATGACCCGGCAAAAACAAGGAAAATACGCCCATTGTTTAAACCACCTAAATATCATGAGGTGATGTACGAGGACTATGTTTCATCCTGGTACACAAAAGGCCCGGAAGGAAAACGAAACATTGATTCTCTTCTCCTTAATTGATTAGTTGCTTTCAATTCTCTTTTGGGGGATTAAGCTCGTTCGCAGGTAAGTGGAATCTTAGTAGTTTCTAAAATGCCTTAATCCAATGTTCCTTTGTCTCTGGATATGTGAGACACGATCTTTGTCTTAACAGTATACTAATTCTTATTTTCCTCTCTGTTTAGATTGGTTCAGAGAGATTTATAATTACGCTTGGACCAGTATCAGTATTCAGATATTTTTAAAGTGGTAGCAAGACCAGTTACTGTTAGATGGTTAGATCTTAACAATAGCAAGGATTGGCTTGTTTGCCAAATTTACGTACATTTTGGTATGGCCAAGCCTAGTGTTGCTGAAACAAACTGAAAAAATGAAACTATTGTAAAGAGGACTCTGTAGTTGGATTCCTCTCATTTTTATCCCATCGTTTTGTAAAATTATGCACCCCATGGATTCTCCTGAAAATGTCCTGCCCTGTCCTGTCTAGTTATTCAAGATTGCATGAAATTTTAAGGGGATTCAAACAGATTGCTATTTTACTTGCAATAATAACAGGATTGATTTGTGCCATTTTCGCCTTTCCCACTACACCATATATAAGCAGTTTATTTATTACTCATTTCCATAAATTAATGCCATAATATTTATCTGCCATCAAAACACTAGAAATAAAGTTCGAAGGAATGAACTTGTATATCGGTGGCTGATCAGTAGGAATTGATGAGGACGTTCCTTGACATGGTAGATGGCAGCGGCAAAGAGGCAACTGTTAATGACTCAACTTCGTCACTGAGAGTCTTGACCCAAAAACAAAACCATACGAGTAATCAAGCAATTGAAAAGGCCGTTTGATGAATCACAATAGTAATCGGCTACAACGGATAAATCACACAGCTAAGAAGCTAACTCTGGTATCAAATGCTCTGGAACAAGGTTGGCATTGCAATCAACCATAATAGAAAGAAAACCAGTATGCCCCTCAGGGCACATCCAAGTTGGCGGAACAATCACATTGGGGGGCTCTGCAACCAAGTGTGGGGAGTTCGATTCCTGGTTGGAGCAGCGAAGTGATGTAATAACCAGAGGAAGGGTTGGAGCAGCTTGGTGATATAATAACCATGGAAGAGGGTCCCTTTGGGGAAGGAGTAAAAGCCATGTGGGAACCAATAAGGGCACAACCTGCGATTTACCTCCACTAGTCACTGAGAGGCCGGGGGCTAGAGGTCCAGGATTTAGTCCGGCTAAGCTGGGACACCTGGGTTATCAAAAAAAAAAAAAAAAAAAAAGAAAACCAGTACCCTTTAATTCCATAAAAGAACTGACGTCAAAAGAGTGAACACAAATCATAGTTAAAGAAAGGTACATTTGTAGATGAATCTCTTTTGGGATAACGGAACTCAACCTGTAAAGCCTATAATTCAGCCTTTGCCTCCTCCTCCTTTCTGCCGTTAGATTTTTGGCGGGAGGCTTCCCTTTCTTTCCTTCGTCCATCACCATCATTCACTGAACTACCTATGCTATTACTTGCACTCAACTCTAGCTTACAATTTTCATCAGGAGGAAACGTTAATTTCATCAACGTTAGCTTCTCCGTTGTTCTTTTGTAGCATTCAAGGTTCAAACAGCAGAAGTTCGAGAATTTTCTTGATCGAAAACTCCAAAATCCCCCACATTTTCTCTATACAGAAAACTACCTTTTCTGGAGTAGATTGAGGTAAGAGCCAGCCGAAATTAAACTAGCAAGTGTCCCCAACATTTTTCCTCTGGGATATGAACTCCCATAGCTATCCACATCCAATGGACTCGAATCAGCCACAGTGGCGGCACCACCACTATCATCAATCAGATAAAGCAAACGGTTTCCGAGTTCTGAGAAATCAATCTCAAATCANTCAGCCACAGTGGCGGCACCACCACTATCATCAATCAGATAAAGCAAACGGTTTCCGAGTTCTGAGAAATCAATCTCAAATCAGAACCACTCAAACCATTTAATCCCATCAAAAAAGAAAAATTAAAAGCCAAATTATGGACTTCTTGAACCCAGAACTACACCTTAAGTCCGGGATATTATCAAAAGGGTGGTTACTAACACTGCTAAGAAAAACTGAGTCAGTCAGGTTAATACCTTAACCTGCAGAGTCTGAGTACGAACCTATTTGATGAAACACTGAATTTTCAATTACATTGTGGTTGCCCAAGTTATGAGTAACTGAATCATGATTGTTATGTGAGTTGTGGGAATCTAAAGATAGATCGCTATTATTGTCATTCACGTACAAGCAATTGCTCTCATTTTCATGCTGGGTATTGTTGAAGGAAGAGAAAATACCCCTAATAGCAGAATTCATTTTTTGTTTAATTGATTTTTCTGCTTCACGTGAACCGTTTTGAAACAAGTTTTTGCCCTTTATATTCAAGACAAATAAATAAAATAAATAAAAATAAACCTAGCAGGTATTCTGATTTTCGTGGAGACTTTACGGTTTGGGAACGATAAAAACAACCGCTCCTGGGTCTTGTCGGATTAGTCTAGTGACTTATAATATTAAATGTACTCGTCTGGGTAAAATCTGGTATTGAATAAAATAACTAATATATAAATGTTTGTGGTATCAAAATTCATCGAGACTCAAACGAGCCGTTGGATTTCAAGATTAATGTTTTCAAATGACCATTTAATGTTTGATTAATATACTTATATTGTTTTCCGTTGATCATTCGATTCCTCAACAACCAAACTCACTTTCACTTTACCGTACAACCCAATAGAGTAGAGAATAGGTGCATTACTATTTTATGAATCCACCTTACCAAAAAATGTCAGTTACATTATTACACTGCGGTCGGAGACTGAAGAAAGCAACAGAGCTTTTAAATGTTAAAGCATATGAGAAAACAATTACAGGGATGATGAAACTAACTCATCGGAAGCAGAAGCATCCCTTCAGTTTTGCTTTCAGCTTCATTCTGAGCGTCGACTTCGAATTTCTGAGAATCCAGTTCTCCTTGTGTAACTTGTTGATTACTGTCCTGTTCTCATCATTTCTTATTATCCATTCGGACAAAGTCTCCTCGAGAAGTTTGAAGTAACGTAAACGTTGAGTGGAAATTTTCACCTCTGGGAATCCGTCACTAGTGTTGTTCTTGTCGCTTATTGAATGAACATGATCTGATCCCTTAAAATTAGATGGGTTCTTGCTTGAATTCGGTGATAAGTTACTTGAGGACGACCCGAACTCAAAGATGGAATTTTTAGATTCAGAAGCAGGATTAGTACTTGGATAATGCAACAGGTTTTGTGAAGAATCCAACAATTTATTCTCTTCATGTGATGCTTGGGATTTGAACATTAGCTCATCATACTTAATGGCCAAAGCTCGGTATAATCTTTGAAGCTCTTCAACCATTTTAATGAGTTGTGGTCTCTTTCCGTAGTACATCTCGGCTCTCTTCGCAAATGTGGCTCCATCGTCGTCTTCAATTACGTCCAAAATCATCCTTATCATTTTATCCAACTCTACATTCATCATATGTGAAAACCAATTAGTCTCTTCGTTTTATTTCTTCTCAAACAACATTTTTAATTACTCTTAACATCTATCAGTACATTCAAAAAAGTCATTTAAAAAATCAGATATAAATATGGAAAACGATAAAAGAGAATAGTGAAATCAATAAAACAAATTCATACATAAAATCATACTATATGTACAATCTTGCGTGTGTTGAGTGAGAGAGAGACCTGATAGAGTGTTGTAAAACCATTGAGAGCTATCCGACCACCATGAATGGGAGGAGGATCGTCGTAGTTCGTCATTGTTTTTCTCCATTGAATTGATGAAACGCTTAATTGAATTCAAAAACGATAGAAAAAAGGATTTATAAGAAGAATGGTAGGACTCTAATTGGTATTTAAACAGTTTCTTTCCTTTTCTTCATTAAAAATAACAACGTTTTCAAAATTTTAATTTTCTTTTGTTACCGTTCCTTATTTTCAGCTACCCTAGGATTTTCTAACTTCTGTATTTGAATTCATGAGATTTTATTCTTTAGACATGGGTAATGGTATGATACTCTTAAAACTTTAAGAGGATTACGTTAGTGTTAGGGCTATAAGTAAAATTTGTCAAATTGAAAAATCGTAACTGTTTTTTAAAATTGTCCGTTATTTAGCTGTATCAAAATAGGCTTGGGTGACTCACCACGTTGGAAAAATTGAAATACTGATTTTTAATTTCCATTTGTACTGTTCGTAAATTTATTCCAACCCCACTATCCGATTTAAAATTCACTTTTCATTCTCGTACCCTACTCTAAAAAAGCACTCACAGTCACTCGGCCCACTCCCATCAACCTCACCCACTGCCGTCGCCACCTCTAAATCCATCATGTAGCCACATAGCCGCCGCCACCTTCATTCATTGCCACCGTCCAAAATCCCAACCAAATCTCAGTCTATAAACCAACTATGATTTACTGGAGAAGAAAAAATGAATTCTACCTTCTTCACTCCCACCAGCCATTACCACCAACACCACCATCTCATATTGCAGAAAAAATATGATCTGCTAGTCATGATTGATTTCTGTGGTGTTTACGACTTAACACGGTGTGTTACAATAACATTGTTTGTTACACTTGTATCATACTGTGGCAGTGAGTAATCCTTAAAAATTAAATCTTTTTGGTAATTTGTGGCTAGTGGTGATCGTATGTATTTATGTGATGGTTTGTGGTGGTGGCGACGATGGTGTAACACAATTTGTTACAATAGTTATACACAACACTTTGTGTTATATTGTTATATTTGTTACAAAAAGAGTAACAACAAATGTTTCAAAATGTGTAACACATTATTTTGAAAAATAAATTAAGATTGAAAATATTTACATTTTTTTTTTTTTTTTTTAATTGTAGATAGTGAAACTTTTCCATTGAAAAATTAGATCAGAACCAACCTAGCATTATTCAGCCGGTTCATGAACCGGTCCGTCATAATGAACAGATTGCATCAAATTTAATTTGACAAACCCAATTTATTTTAAATAAAATAGAAGGTAAACTATTACGCTGCATCCGTGACATTACCTTCAAAATGATCTTGCTATTTGCTGACAAAAACCGATGTAGCAAAAGTCTCAAAATTGAGTGGAGTAGACATACAAAGCTAATTCGAAACGTAGCTGAGTTTGATGCTTACGTGCTATTCAAGATCTTCAATCGGGTTGAGAGATGACAAAAGTTGAGAATATAATGATAAAAACAGAGGCACATAACATATTGACACTAGTTCCATCCATCGACACTTGATTGGCTAGGCTTATTTACCGGCATGGGTATGGAGACGAGCCAATAAACAGGCCCTCTAAACTGAAGATAGCAGCCACCATACAAGCAGAGAATGGTACACGCACAGACGCACACAAGTATTACATGACTGTCGTATTTAAGGCTGCAATATGCCCTGCTACGCTCCACTGATAGAAATACAACTGCAAATGACAGCAGACAAACTAAAAACATTGATCAAACAATGGAACAATAAGGTTGGGAAGAATTTTATCATACACTAATATCGACAGATTTGAAAATTAACATAGCTCAAGTGTACACGTAAGTTTTTAATCCATTATTTTCGTCCAAGTTCAACACCCTAGTGGCCAAAAGATTCGCTACCTCTCAGTTTCCTTTTCTGCTTTTCATGGATGTGAACCGCCTAAGAAAAGCAAGTTAAATTCACAAAACTTGGTAACTATCAGAATTTACCATTTCCTCCACTGCACGCCTTGTTGTCAACAACAAATTTAAACAGCAATCACATACATAAATCAAAGTTTACTTGGGAATTAAAAACAGGGCCTGTTTTGGATTGGCCCTCTTGTGCAACAAAGCAGTCTCTCAAATCTATCTAACCTAGAATATAAATTGCATCCGATTGTTGTACTTCCCACCCATCAGACTTTTACCTCTTTGACAAGCTTTCCAATTTCGTGTGAATGTTTGTCTTTCACACAGAAGCCAAGTCAACTTCTCTCAACCGAAAGTGTGATTGCTCATATACCTAATAATCATTGTTTATACGAAAACCTACTTACCTGCTTCTATGTTAAATGAAAAAAATATGCTTCCCCTTCGCTATTTTTGATCAAATGACTCGTCAACAATTAAAGGACATCAAATGGTTTATGCACGAAACATTTCTCCCTAGAGAAGTTCAATTCCTGAAAATCACATTTGGCAGACTCCATCAGACTATTAACCTGTTTCTCTAACTTTCAAATTTGCATAAAAGATTTTCTTTTACTTTGAAAGCCAAGTCAACTTCTATCAACTGTAAGTGCAACTGCACAAAAACCCGATGAATCATTGTTAAAAAATGTCACATCTAAATACATATTGAAATGATTAAGCTCGGATGCATAGACTATAATAAACCTTGGTTCACAATATCAATTTTCTTCCAGAAATTAAAACCAAAATAGGATGCCTCTCAGCCTGGGGTTTAAGCAGGATTCATTGTGGAGTTGGCATAAAGCTTCATTTGCTAGACGCAGTTCCACAATCATGAAGAAATAAATAATGTAAACATTGCATATTCTGACCAAACGAGTAAAGCATAAATCTTCCTATACACCTCAACATCAATAAATTTATTAGTCAACATTATCTCCTGAAAAGATACACAAATTTAGCAGTGTATATTTTGGGTTCAGCAAAAATTGACTGCTGCATTAATAAAGCCAAAAAGTTCCACTTTGGCATGGCTTTCGAGAAGCAAAAAGTAGCAGCTTTTGAGAAGGCTACTTTTTGACCCGTTTGGCTAACTTTATGAAAGTGTTTCTTCTAATTAGACGAGCTTTTAGAGAAAACTGATCTAATATGGCTTCCTCCAAAGCTCTTCCGAAATAGGAAACTCTTTCAAAATTAATTTCCAAACAAACTTCTTCAAAAAGTTATTCCATGAAAAGCAAAAGTCAAACGGGCTTAAAAATTAACATATTCCACAACATAGTTGCAAATAAACAAAACAGGAAAAGTGATTGCCTTGTCATTCATATTAGATACTACTAACTATATTGATACACTGAGAACCAGTAAACCGGGACCTAGGACCGAATGCTTAGTTAAGAAAAGAAAATCATCACTCAGGATATTCAACGAGGGCAGGTTCGGAGGAAAAAAATCAAAACAGAATGCCCTCTATTTAACGCAAAACCTTCCAAAAGACTGATTTTTTATCAATTCATTTGATCCTATAACTTATGCACTTAATCGAGATGTTTCAAGGATATAATAGTCCAACAAACTCATAATCTTTCTTTCTTGGCCATCTTCTTCTATACATTGACAGTTACATTTCACAAAAACTAACAAGACAACCAGTTCAAAGATACAAAACTAACTCCAAAACTAGGCCACCATAATTAAATTATACCATCATTATTCAGGTTACTAGAAATAAAAGGAAGAGGCCAACAAACCAAAAATACTAAACCAACTTATACACAACATTAAGAACTCACAAAAACCCTTTTTGGAGCTTGAGAATTGCAGAGTAAATTTTCCTCCTTGAACCAACAGCATTGATCCCCATGTCCTTGAGATCCTCCAGAGTTAAAATCGGCAAGACTTCAGTGTCCACCTCATGTATCTCAAAAACTGGAGCGTATCTTCCTAATCCCAGGCCAACCAACCACTCCCTCACCCCGTTGCTTGCTTCATTATGCTGATCCTGCGAATTGACCTCATTCTGAGTTATTCCATTGCTCTCTGAAACCCGAACCCTACTTCCCCTCCTTTGTCGATCCCAAAACTGCAAACCCATATTCTCTATAGAATTAACCGGGCTATGCTCTTTTAACAAAGGACTCTCCGAGCCCTCGGGCTCGAAATCCCTAATCTCTCCATTATTATTCTCGTTTTCTTCTTGAAAAGCGTTTGAGCTGTCGACTACTCCTCCACCGCCGCCGCCGCCTACTCCGTTATTAAGGATGGAGTCGAATTTATTCCAATTGGTGCGAGCCCGCTTGATAGGCTTCTTGTTCTTGGGCCTTCTGTGAATGAAGTCCGCTGCTGAAGCATAATTCTCGGTTTGGTCAAAAGCATCCCGGTAATTTGTGTCGGCACCACCATTGACGAGGTTGGTGAGGGGCCGAGTTTTGGAGGTCTTGGCGGCAAAGGATGGGTCCTTGTGGAAGCGCCAGGTTTTGTTGGGGCGGCGAATGTGGTGGTTGTTGGTGTCGTAAGGTGGGTCTCCCCCGATCTCTCCCAGGCGGACGCTGGGGCGGCGCTGGCGTTTGGGGGCTAGGCTAGGGCCTGGGTCGATATTGGCAGCGTTGGTAGCTAAGGTTGGGTTAGTGGTGGTAGGATGTTCGATTGGAGGTGGTTCTGGAAATGTCGCCGCCGTGGTTGGTGGGTCGGAGGAATTTAGGCCGTCCGTCGCCTGTATCTCCGTCGCCATCCGGGGAGTAACAGTGAGTGCAACTGTTTGTTGGATTGACATAAAAGGGAATGGGAGAATCGGACTTAAAGGTTGGGTTTGAACAGTGGACTTACACTTTCCAACTTTGGGCCTTAATTGCTCATATTCACTACATAAAATTGTACATTACACCAAATATTTTCCAATTTGATTTTAGGGAAAATTTCATAATTAATTGGTTAAGTGTCACGAAATTTATTAAAATTTATTTATAAATTAATTAATTATTTATTTATTTTATTAATTAAATATATTAAGGTCACGAATCTAAACAATTTAATCACAAATTAACAATTTAATTAGTTATATATTATTTTTCGATCACAAATTAAAATTTTTATGTCACAAATTATTTTATGGTCATAATTCAGAAAAGTTTACAAGTAACAATATGTTCATCGATCACAAATAAAAACTTTATAATTTATAATTTATTTATCGATCACAAATCACAAATATTATAAGTCACAATTTATTATGAATAATTATGTTCATCCCAAGTTTAAATCCCAGGACTGGTAACATGTCAGCACCTGTTTTTTTTTAACTGTCCAATCAATTGTTGATACGTGACATCTGGATCCAAACCCTCTTTTTCATCCCTGTGTGTGTAGCTTTGTTGATTTACTATAGAGTCATAAATGATCGGCCACTTAACAATTTTTTAGATTACACATTATTTCTTGATCACAATTTATCCTTTTCATTAATCACATATTGTTTATTATTTATATACTAACCAATTTAATGGTTATATGATCAATCAAATCTTTTGTAACCACCTCCAACACTTGTGACCACCATTACCATTGTCACCAATAGCATCACCACCAAAATCGTTGCCGCCAGGACCACCCCAAACCCAGCCACTGTTAGACCACAGCCAGATGCACTACCAAATCTATCCCCACCAACACTAGATCCACTATCAGCAGTGTCCAATCCACCACCACTACCAATTAAACCACCACCTCTCCAGCATCACCACAACATTTGAGAAAACCACCACAACACTGTGCCACCACACTACCACCGTAGATCACAACTAGGGGTGTCAACAAGTTGAGCCAAAAATTGAGGCTCGAGCTTCTTTTGGTCCTAGCTGAGCAAAAGCTCGACTCGAGCTGAAAGCTCAAGCTTTATTGAGCCTTTTTTTTAATCTTTATTTCCTTCGTGAGTTGCCTTTACAAATTTATTATTATTATTTTTTTATTTCGAGCCGACCCAGAGCCACACGGGCTGGCTCGGGCTCACCGCGCCACCCCAACATGAGGCTCGACTAGAGTCTAGGCTTGGTGAAATCGAGCCCTGAGCGAGGCTGGCTCGAGTTTTTTACGGGCCAAGCCATGGGTGACCCGAGCCCACAAGCTATTTTGCCATCCCTAGAAGAATCCACACCCACATCGCACCACCACCATATACCACCATCTCTTCTATCTACATCTATACCACACCACGACCACCACCCCCACCAAAAAATTCATAGAACCACCGCACACTAACACTGCTTGCACTACCACCACCTCAAAAACACGTCGCAAAAATCACTGCAAAAGCACCACAAACTGCTCAGTTTGGCCAACTTGGGAAGGTAAGAGTGGCAACCTAAAACCTCCCCATCCATTGCAACACCACAGAAGCAGCAAGTGGCGCTATGATCCTGTCGGAGAAAAGTTTAGATTGTCTCGCAATATTATAAGACATTAAACGCCAACGATTTGTGACCAGGTAAAACTACTAGATCGCCATTGCTCGTATATAAAGACGGATTGAGGAGAGGACAGTACTAGGCTGTAGTCCAATGCTGCCCAAACCCATGTCCAATAAAAGGCCGAAAACAATGTTCAAATATTTTAATTTTAGTATACTAGCCCACTAACCATTAAGCAGCCCACCACGATTTGTAAAATTTGTTTCTTATTTTATACTTGGCTCAAAGATTTGTTTTAGGATCCAAAAGCCCATTACCCAATTGCACAACAAATATCCTCTTCATTCCTCCCACAATTCCCGTCACTTAGTTGAAATTTTGAAAAACAAAAATTCTCAAATCTTTGAATAAACCTAATCCCTAATTTTTCTATTATTTTCCCTAGCTACCATCTCATCAGAGAGCCACCAACGCCTACCGTCAACCACAAGCAAGGAAGCACCTCTGAAATTTGAAGAGCTTCAGATCGGCTAGTAACTCCTTACTCCTTCGATTAAACCTCATTTTCAGCTAGTAACTCGTTTTCCTTCAATTATTGGTTAATAGTTGTGTCCTTTTTCAATACTTAAATCAAAATTACTTTTTTTTTTTTTTCATTCATTGTGTTCTTAAACCTTGAGGGTTTAATATGGATTTATAAATTATAAACTTATAACATATCTGATGTTCTAATTTTTTGCTATGTGTAATGTGTTTGATGATTTCTGATTTATGCTATGTTTATGGTTATATTAGTTATATTTTATGATTTTTGTTTGTTGCATACTTTTAGTTTTTAATGAATTTTTTGTTCAAAATTGTTTATAGGCATTTGATTGGTTTGTTTTTAAAACATCACAAAAAGCTTAATAATTCATCTAATTACTTGTTCACTTTGTCGGCGTCAAACTATGTAAGCACAAGTAGGTATTTCGTACTCGTAACATTAAGTTCTGGCTCCATCCCTGCTCCCAGAGGTGAGGCATCGCACTGCGCAGAGCTTCTCATCCGAGCATAGAGGTGCTGCGTTGTAGCTACGCGAAGCAGTGGCTACTCCTTTGATGCCGTGCCTCAACGTGGAATGTGCCATCTCGCACGGAGGTTGTGTTGCTAGAGAAGTGAGAAGGAAAACTATTAAGAAATAAGAAAGTGGCAAATGATTTAAGGTTTGGATTGGGGTGAGGGTTTGTGGGATAGGATGGGATGGGATGGATAGATTAATTTAATTTATTAGTATTAAAATTTTAAATTTATATCCTAACAAACTTTAGATTTGATTTTTGAAAATGAATGGTTGGATATAATTTCCACCTGATTTTATTCTTTTGCATTTTGTGACCTCTCTGCATACTTCCATTTTTAATTTTCATTTCTTGCATTCCCGACCCAACCTATTGTTTTCTAGGTTCCAACGCATAGAGAAAAGCAACTTTGGAAGCTAAGGAGTTGTGCTACAACCATTCGATTAAAATATACTCAAAATATAAGATTTTGAGAAAATAACACCTTTTTTTTTTTTTTTTTTTTTTTTTTTTTTTTTTCGATCGAACTCCCAAATTTTAGCAAATTCCGTTGGACGTCTCCAAATCGTAGCCATTTTTTCAACAAAAAAAAATCAATAACATATCCAATTATAAAACTCTCCATATTATCATTATGATTAAATGTCCAGGATTATGGTTCTCAATTGTTCGACCTGAATAACAAGTTGTTTGCCTTTTATTTGTTGTAGATCAACTCTTACATCCCTCAAACTTGCATTTCATTTCTATATTTTATTTTTAAAAGAGAGAAATATTTGTGGATTACACGTTTGTTTCGACGAGAAAAATAATTATTGTCCAACCTAGGCCAAGTGTGCATAAAAGTAGAAAAAATTGCTCGTTGTTGTACTTTGCAAAGTTAGACCAAATTCACAAAATCATTTAGCCTTTTAAAAGAGTGCCGATGCAAGTAGACAGCTATTGAATTTCATATATTTTTCGTGAAAGCAGTGCGACAACAAACTATTTAGTTAATCATGATTACACCAAGAGGACTTCTGCATTGTGGAACTTTTAGAGATTGTGGATACACTTGCAAGAATTATCAACTCGATAAATTACAACTACCATATGTTCGTTTTGAAATTTAAAAAAAGAATAAAGAAAAAAAAGTACACCTAGATCTCAAAAATGGCAACACAGCTTCAAAGCCAACCCACCCCATGCACAATTTAAGATCAAATCCAAACACAGGATATCCTACGACCATATGTTGAACTGTACTTCTCAGGATGGAAAGCCAGAAGCATGCTGCCCAGCCCGAAACAGCCTTTTTTAACCAAATTGCAATTTATAATCTTAAAAATGAAAAAGAAGATTAATGGACATCATTTAGACAACGAGTTGTAAAGTTACCTCTAGTGTAACTGACCAAGATGTCATCCAGATGTAGGGGATGGTGATCGGTTATTAGGTAAGGAAGTTGGTGTTAAAGGTGGTGTAGAAATCTCATCAGCCATCTCTAGAGTTTGAGAAGCTTCTGAAGGAACACGCAGTGCCACTTCCATTTGACCTTCAGAAGGAATAGAATAACTACGAGAAATTGTTTCGGGCATTGGAGGTGTAGACTTTGCTGTGGACATCATCGATATGTTTGAAACAGATAGCTCATTACCTTTAGATACCAAGGGACCTGAATGAGCAACGAGATTGGATGGCCTCTTAGATGTTAAATGAGCCGGAGGCAGAGGAAGCTCGTGAAGTTCACTTATTTTAGGTGATGACACAAAAGAAGGCGAAACACATGAAGACAATTTGGGAGTTGACGTGGGCCGAGGTAACGGAGTGCGCAAGAGGGACCCTGAAAATGGAGGATAACCTGATGACATAATCGGACCACTTGACCAGAAATTTGGGTAGTTTGGCCATGGCTGGCCTGTTAATGGACCAGAAAAGGCTTGTCTTTTGACTTTCTTAGTATTAGATGCAACACTTGGATCAAACTGTTTTGATGAGCGGCCATCAGAGAATGAAGGGGGCAATTGACTGCCTCTTGAATTGATGTTGCTTTCTTTGAGCACTGATTCTGAATCTAAGATCATAGGCCCGGACAATTTTTCATTTGCCACAAGCTTTTCATATTTGTTATGCACCAAAGGGGACGAATGCCACAAGTTCACTCTCGCTTGTCTTGGTTGAGGAGCTTCAGCATCTGATTTTCGAGTACCTGGGTCCTTTATCTCCACTGGCGTGGGTAGCACATATGATGCGAACTTGTGTGATGGTGAAGGCCGCAACTGCGACAGCCTCCCAGCTGGATCGAATTTCTTTTCAGGAAGGAGAGGTGCTGATTTGCTAATTGTCTTAAACTCTCTGCGGAAGGAAAAAGAATTTTGACCGGGATTTCTTTCTAAATTTTCCTGTAAACACATTCAGTAGAAGGAATCAACTTCAGTGGCTTAATATAGGCTGAAACAAATATCGTATAAAAAAAATAAAAAAATGAAAGCAATAAACCTTTAAAACAAAATACAACAATCTAATTATAACAAATCGCTGGATAGCTAACATGCATGCCAACCAATTCCATTCGTACACAAACACATTCATTCCAGGTCAAGCTCAAGATGTGAACTGTACAAACTTTTCTTTTCAGTCACGGCTTCATATTGGGACAACCCAATTAAAACCTAAATAACTTTTCCCCATGGTCCCAATTACATCTATTTAGAGCCCCATATGTTTTTTTCTGAAACCTTCAAGTTAGTTTATGTCAGCATATCAGTTGGGCATTTTCTTTCAAGATATTCTGGATCACCCAATATATTATGAAGTAGTTTAGAAATAAAGATAATGCGCTGTAAATGAATTTCATTAAGAACGGCATTTGATCAACAGTCTAGGGAAAGAACAACTTCGTAAAGAATTCTCCATTACACATGCCAGACAGCAAGGGACATCAACCTCATACCAATTTGTTCATTCTGGTGTTCTAGGTCTATGCACTTCACCTGACCATTGAGCAAAGTTGCATGATCCAACAGATAAAGAATAACACATATATTTGTGTGTGTTCAAAACGCCTAATGTTAACACATCAAAACTAAGGTGTTATGGTTCATTGTTCAAAGCTACAATAAAGTCATATATTGTGGCTGCCAGTGCATGGAAGCATCAATATTCAATGATTTCCACTCTGCTCTATCAAGAACCATTTCCTTAATTAAACCACCAAGACTTGAATCTTTTTAAAGACTGCTCATTCACGCGAGTTAATGTCAACCTCTCTATCTATCTTAAGCAATTCTTCTTGTTTTCTATTTTATAGCATATTGGATGGAGCAGTCTACGTCTGTGATCTTCTATAGTTTGCTTCTCTGACATCTGAATGATTTTACGCATCTTTTTTCAGAATCTGCCAACAAAACTTTATTGCTCATCCAGCCCCAAAGATAATCATGATGCCGGAAACTTAAAGCCCAAGTTATGTAAATGGGAAAGAATGGAGAGAAAGATAATAGACGAGTGAGAATAATGGTATGATTGAGTAATCAGAATAATTGTTTATATTATAAAAATATACTAGTCTTTTTAATACTTCAAAATTTTCTGACAAAATGAGAACTCGTCAAAATATCGAATTGAAATTTTTCTTAACTTGAAACTAATGGTTATTGTAAGAAAATAATTAGAAACTATTTTCTACTTCTATGCTTAAAATGAATGTATTTTAGGTAAGTTGGTAATGAAAAATCTTCATCAATAAGTTTCCAGAATCAGAAACTCCTATATACACTACATATATATAATTCAAAAACATGAGAGTTACCCTGTATCAGTATCAAGACAAATTCAAGTCCTACCTCCATTGAGCATGCTAATGTAGAGACTTCTACAACTGGATCATTTTGTCCATAGTCAAAGCTCAATTCTCCATCATCAGTAGTTGCAGTACCATCATCAGTATCGTTGTCATCATCATTACTTTCATCATGATCATAATCAATATTAGACCCGTTTTCATCTTCTAGTCCACTAAATTGGTACTCAATGTGGTGTCGTTCAGAAACCAATTTGACATGTGGCTCAATTGCCTCCAGAGAACTGAGAGCCTTCTTGAAGAAGGATAACTGTTATAAGGGACAAAGCAACCCAGGTCAACAGTAATGCGACAAAAATCAAAGATGCAGGCATATAATGTTTTGTTAGGAAAGGAGTGAAACCTGTGCAGCATGATGCCTAGCTGCCTGCGTTAGAAGACTATGGGATTGTCCTTGCTTTAGAGATTTCATACGGAATACAAATATGTTTGCTTCCTCATCATAATCATCACGAGCTACTCGCAATTCGCGTGAAGAAAAGCATTCTCCTTCACTATTTCTCGACCTCCCTTTTACTTTGTATTTCTTCATCATCTCTTCATACATGTCTCTAAAAATTGTAAATTAAGAATCAAAAACAATTAGTCAAGAGGTATGGCATAAGTAAAATACTAAGGATGAATTAATTTGTACCGTTTCCCATCACATCGCCTCTTCATCTCCTACATAAAGGGAAAAAAATGATGAGAAGCCTAAATTATCCTAGATAATGAACAGCCAAAGATATGAAATGCACATAAAGAAGCAAAAGTGAGTGTTAAACATCTGGTGAAGTTAATGTATTATAGGTATTCTGTCCAGAATACAAACTCTACTATGAGAAACAAACAAGACCAAGATGAATGGATTATGAATGAAAAGTATGTAATAATAGCAAAGTCAGAGGACAATTCGAAAAAAATGAGGCAAAAATTTGAAGGATCAAGTACCCTTAGTGATACCAGGAAGAGTATCAGGGATGACATTGAAGGACATTAATCAGACCCCATCCACTCCTTAAAAGAGTAAAACAGAAAAACGTTGTTCACTCTTAGAATGCTTGTATCCAGCAAAAAAATGATGGAACTATAGATGTAATGGTTAATAAAGATAAACTCCCATGAATCCACTTCACAAACTCCCAATCTTTAGGGGCACCGGATATAACGTTGATTTGAACAAATTGGTTAATGATTTAGATCTTACTGTTGTGGTCCAGAATAGTGGTGGTGTTCAGTGGTGGTTGTGGCCCTTGTGGGGCTGAGGGGAACTCAGAACTCTAGCTACCAGGGTTGAGTTGGATTGGGGACTGTTTAGAGAAGTAACTAATTTTCTTTTTCTTTATCATCTTTTCTTTTGTTGTTTTTGGGTCTAGTTTTTCTCTTGTTCAAGTGCAAGGGCAAATTTGTCATTCTATGTCTGCCTAACAGATATTTCGGACGGAAACCATCATTGAGGACCCTGGGTGCCAATGTATAGCTGCAATTTACCCTAATGTCAAATTAATAAAATCAAACAACTCTTGCGAATGTACCTCAACTATCTGTAGTTCATTAAGAAGGGACTCCGATGGGATTGTGATTGTCTGTAATACGTGAGAGCGCTGAAACACAAAATACAGAGGTTTATCTAACAGGAAAATACAAAAGGAAGAAGTAGACAGCCATTCATATATAACATTAAATACTCACATAACCATCAACAAGTTTCTGAAGTTCAAATTGTACTTTTCCCAGCATCAACAAAACTTTTCCTGCGCAGCAACAGAAATTAGTATGATTTGAAGGGGAAAAAATTGTAACTGTATTATAAGTTTTTCCAAATAGACAATATGACCAAAAGAAAACCCAACAAAAGAGAGAGATTCAGATTTCAAGAGCTATTAAATGATTTGAAAATTTATCTTGACGGTAACAGAATCAAAGAACAAAACTTGCTTGCTGATTACAATTACATTTTTCATAAAATCCATGTATACTGTCTAGCCTCTTTAGTGAACAGCTGTTCTAAGAAAATGAAAGAATTGACTAATGTTTTACAAAATATTAAAGTCTCAACATGAAGTTGTTCGATAGACGTAATGACTAACTGCATTCCTAAAAATATTCCGCAGGGGCCTTTATCATTATTTACAGAAAGTAGGAAAAAGAAGGTAAAGGGGAGAATCAGTAATAATTTGCAACCTGGGTAACTCTACATGGCTCAGTTTGAAAGATTGGTTAATGTGAATGTGATGAAAATTTTCATTCTAAAACTGTTCAGACAGAGGCAGCGCTGGTGTGGTTACAATCCTTGAATGCTCCATACAGGTTACAACCACAACATATCATTTTTCATTTACTCAAAAAACTTACCTTACGGTGGTATATATGTACGAGGAAATTTCTGCTTACCACTTTCTTCATCGTCACTGAGAGCCGTTTTCTCAAGAAGACAATCACCCATCTCTTCCAACGATTCTGAAAATTCTGAAAATAGCTGGGCTTCGTCATTGATTTATTTCATTAGATTCACGAGATATAAAACTCAGCAAATGTAAAAGGAAAATAATTCCAACAAATGTGAACAAATTCCACACAACAAACTCTAAGGTTAAGTATTGACAAAAATCAGGCAGCTATCTTTATCAATTGGATTACGAAATGGTTCCAGAAGCTCGGGAAAATACCATATATGCTATTCACTGTTGCTGCTGAAGCTGAAAGTAACCTATCGTAGCAGTCTCTCATGTCATGCATGTCCTGACAGAAATAATGGCAAAAAGAAAAAAAAAAAGATAAAAATAATACGATCAGCATCTCTGAAGACATAAGCTTAAAAACACGAGCCAAAATGATGCAAGGTCATGATTCAATTACTTGAATAGAGTTCCTGACATGTATCAAGATACTGAGACTAAAATGAAGAAATGCTGCTTTTCTATAGTATAACTATCACAAAACCACAATGCGTCTATGGCCAAAATAGTCAACTGCATCCTTCAAGGCAAATAAATTCTGCAACTATAATTTTCAATGCCATAAGCTGTGTTGCATGTGAATTCATCCAATTGCAGCCACATCATCTGATAACTTCAAAAGGACCGTGGAGGGAAGTTTACGCCACATGTGATTGTTTATATGACAAAAGGAACAGAAGTAGTCTCGCTAAACAATTTTATTTGTGAATCTCTTCATGGTTTGCTGATGCAGGTTCACATATTATACTCTCAAAGTTCTCAGAATGAGGAAATCATCGAGTGTCATTTCTTGTTTCCTAGCGATAATATTATGTTCTATGTAAACGGCCTGAGGCATTAGACATCTCTTGTAGATTTGAACTTCATTTATGAACAATCAATAAATCCATCTCGGTTTCTTCTCTCTACTTTTTCCTCAGTTTTCTGGTGGTTTTCACCTTGACAAGCTAGGACAGAACTATATCTCACTCTTGTTTGAATACAACACGGAATGTACACTACGAATCTGTTCAGAGGGGCTCGTTATTTCTCAATGAAGCCTCCAGTTGAGTAAAAAAAATTAATAAACTTCTATGCAGAGTTCCATCATAACGTCAACTGTTTTGAGACGAGGCGTTCGAACAAATAAAGAAAAGTGAAACAAAATCTAGATAATAGCAACATATAGCACAATTTTTTTGTCCTAAGAACACAACTTAGCATCAGATTTTAGGAGATAATTAAATTAACATTTCTGGTTTTTGTTTACCAAATTCACCTTGGTACTTTAGTCATGGTGGGTAAAATTCAAATTCATCGAAGAAAAATCATAATGCTTCACAGTGAAATAATTTTTGCGTTAAATCATTGGACAATAAAATTTGAGGAGCTGCATATAGTAGTTGACCGGTCAAACTTCCATAACCGTCGTGTTTATTCATAATTTGTCAGAAGAAATCTAAAAATCACTAAATCGAGGAAAAATTTGAATCGATCCAACCCAACCCACCCCCCCCCCCCCT